AGTAATGTTCTACTGGATGAAGATATGGTTGCCCACTTGAGTGATTTTGGAATTGCTAAGTTATTGGGTGAAGGAGAAAACAATGCATACACTACAACCCTGGGAACATTGGGTTACATTGCACCTGGTAAACCTCCTATCTTTTACTCCATTCTTTTCTCTCAAGCATTTAAGGTACATTTAGTCCACCAGGTTAGAGCGAATAAGGGTAGTTTAGATTGCTAATATTCGTATTCAATGTTAGTAAAAATAAAAACATAGTAATGCTTTATAAATATACAACATACAACCACGCATAATGCAACTTATATATATTTCTAATACAGTGTAACAACAACATAATGCGACTAATGAATTTTATAATGCTTTATATAGAGTATGGATTGGAAGGATCGGTGTCAATAAAATGTGATGTTTATAGCTATGGCATTATGTTAATGGAAGTATTTACACGAATGACACCAAGCAATGAAAAGTTCTCAGGAGATTTAAACCTAACGAGCTGGATAAATGATTCTATGCCTAAAGCAATTACTCAGATTATAGATTCGAACTTGTTGGTGCCAGAGGAGCACGACACAAAGAAGTTGAGATGTTTGTCATCTATAATGGAACTTGCTTTAAATTGCTCCATGGAGAGTGTCAGTGAGAGGGTGGACATGAAAGAAGTTGTAACAGCATTGAAAAATATCAAATTTCAGCTCCTCGCTTAAGAGTGGTTTTAAATTTAATGTTCTCTATGTGTTATATGATGATTCGGTGGTTCCGTGGAGATTATATATTTTATCTGTAAAGTTACATAACACGCAATTAAATCTAGTTCAAATTTTCTTAGTTTACAAGTTGAATTCTCTAGATATCTTGAATGCTTTCTAGAAGACTCTAAAAATTATATATTTTGTTTGTAAATATTTTTTCTTTCTTCAAGTCATATATATATTCTTAAAATTCATGTAAACCAAAATTAGGAAAGGTCGAATTCAAGTGGGCCAATAATAAGATTTTTTTTTATTTGTAAAATTGGTTTACATTTCAATAATATAGATTTCTTAATGAAAGGGCTCGTGCTTCAAAATTTTAAGAGTTTTGAACACAACTGGAAATGATAAGGAGAGAAGAATTAGTCTATGAGTCGGCACTTAAGGGAAGAATTGAAAACGGATTAATAGCAAAAAACCCTCTACATATTTGTCGAAGTGCAATATGCCAAAAGAAAAAAAAAACAACTTCCCCATTTGAAAATTTAAGAGTGTGTTTGACTGATATGAAAAATATTACCTACAAAAGAAAATATTTTCCTTCTTTTGTGGAAAATAAAAACCACCTCCACCCAAGGAAAATTTGGCATATTTTCAAAAATTGGAAAATATTTTCCATGGAAAAAATTAGCAATCAAACACCTCATATAGGAATTTGGATGGAAAACTGATATTTTCCATGGAAAATAAATGTAATCAAACACATCCTAAGTGCGGAGTACAACCTTTTCATTATAGAAAATCTCCTTGTATGTTCTTTGAAGTGCAATTCACCTCCTACCATCTAATTCCGTTAGTTAGCCATTAAAAACAATAGAATTTGACAAAATTGAAAGGAATAATTGCAGTATTGATCCAAAACTTTTTATATTTTTTTTACGAATTATACAAAAAATTTTATATGTGCCAACCACAATCGTAAACCTTTAAAATTTAATTTTCTTCCCCAAAAGACAATTGTACATTCCTTGATGGCCATCAAAATGATACAGAGAAATCAATGGTTTCTCGAAACAAACATAATAACAACTTTTCCATTTTCATAAAGAAAATTATCAAATTTTTTTCCTTTCCTGGTTACTGATTAGTGTAAGTGTTATTTCTTAGGTCCAATTAATCTTGGATATAAATACTTTTAATATATAATTAAATGCAATTTAATGGCAGATCTATTATTTAATTAATAGACAATAAAATTAAATAATCGAGTCCATAGATTCAAATCTTCGTAATTTGTTAATCACAAGGAGTTGTGATTGTGAGATACAAATTACACATCATTGAATCTTAAATCGTCCGTGATCGTAAGTAATAACGAATTACGGATATCGTTATTACGGATAGACCATCACGTTTGGCATTTCTTACGTGTAAAATAAGTAGCTGATCTCACAAGTTAAAGTGTGGTGACACTTAAATGAACACGTAGATGTTTTGTTATAGAACAAAACATTGAAGACCCACCGAGAGATTCCACATGGATAACTATCTGAGTGTCAGTGGTTAATCTCTAACGTTCGGTAGTAGAATTGGTCCTTTGACTTGAGGTCATCATAGCATCTTATATGAGGACAGTCATGCTTTGACAGTGTTGGATGTTTCTCTGTCAAGAGCCGCTAATATGATATCGTTCGGGTATGTCAAGAATCGTATGAAGGTTTTGAATGGCCAATAGAGGATTCGTCACTCTTATATAGTAAGAGTTTATGATATACATTTCATTCAATCAAATCGATAACGAAATCCTTGGCCAAGATGTACTCATAAGTCAAAAAGGAGTTTTCGACTTATATTGACTTAATAGTAGAGTGAAAGATATGATCGATAATTGAGATCGACACACTTCCATATCTCGTAATTGATCGGATCATATTGACGAAAGAATTATAGTTTCTCGGTAAACAAACGAGTTTGGTTTTGTCATACCACGTGACATTTCCCATCACATGTATTGCCCTGATACATTGCTAGATGTCAATTTGAGACGGCGAGTATGAATTTGTGATAAATTAAAAGGGCGTTTTAATTTATCAATTTTGATTAGATCAAAACAATATTTCACGTCATTAAGTATCGTGATCGGGAACCTGATGGGTCGCACACAAAAGAGAATTGGAAGATTGCAATTTGTCAATTAATTAATTTAACAATCGTTGGATAAATTAATTAATTGGGTTGGTTAGTTATAGGCTCGACTTAATTAATTGGATTTATTAATTTATGGACCGGATTCAATTAAATGGATTAATTAAATATTGGACCGGGTCAGGCCAAGCCTGTTTGGGCTTTTATAAATAACTGATTAGCATTTATAATTTTGTAGAGAATTCATTATTCTTGCTAGTACAAGAAGAAAACCCTAATCCTGTAACCTTGTTCTCTGTGTGGATTACTGTTGGAGGCTGGACAATTGGACAGCTGTGGGAGACAGATCCAAGTTGCTGGAACAAAGATATGGCAAAAGAGTTTGCAGATCTTGTAAAAGGTACAACTTTAGCACAGTTTCTATCTAAACACAAAGAGATTCCTCGTAGAAATTGAAAATTGTTTTATTTTTTCGCTGCGCATGATAAATAGACTCCCAAGAATTAGAATACACATTCTGATTAATTTGAAACTACAAATTTGAGGTATAAACATGATAACTAAGTACTAAACCAAAGCAACTGTATTTCTAATTGTAGCGCTGAATTTTCCTCTAAATCCCTTGTTTTTACTCGATAGAGAAAAAAAAAGAACTTTTTTCCCACTAAACCATAAACGGAAAGTGGGAAAATAAATAAATAAAAATAAAGCAAACAGAATACAAGCAAGATTTCATTATGTGCTAAATGTCACCTATGCCTCCTCCACCGACAATGCCACCACCACGACCGGTCTACCACCAGATCTAGAACAAAAATTAATTATCACAATTGGTTCTCAACTTGAGCTTTTGCTTTTTCATTCTTTTTTAATTTGCTATTTTTCTGCTACTGTGTCGAAGAGAGAGAGAGAGAGAGAATCAGGGAGTGCTAGGTAGGGAAATGAAGATAAAAAAAATTGATTTCTATGATGCAAAGCCCACGTGGAATAATGGCATTTACCAAGAAATGCAATGAAATTTTGTTTCGAGAATGGATAAATCCATATGTACAGAATAACTTCTTACAGAATGTTGTCAGAATAGTCTCATGATGTGGGGTTCACCATGAAAAAAAATTGCTAGAAAATACCCTACCCATCCCCTTATGTGTGTATTCTGACAACATTTTGTAAAAACTTATTCTGAACATTAAGCATGGCTCTTTGGGAACTGATGTGAGATTTAAATCCCGGTGATGTGAAATTTGGGTGTGGGTGGGGATTTTTGTATTTTTAATTATTTTATTTTTGGGGAATAATATAAAATTACCATTTTGTCATTTAAAATTGGAAAATAAAATTTTATAGGTTCGGGATTGTTGGTTGGCACATATAAAAAAATGAATATAATTCGTAAAAAATATAAAAAGTTTGGGATCACAATTGCAATTATTCCTTTTCAATTTTTTCAATTTCTACTGTTTTTAATGGCTAAACTAACAAATTAGATGGTAGGGGGTGAATTGTACTTCAAAGTTCATAATGGGGATTTTCGCACCTCAAAGGTTGTATTCCGCACTCAAGGGACGTTTGCTATGAATTCAAATAAGTAAGCAGTATAGCGCATATTATCAAGTATGTTCTGCTGTTAATCCAATTGGAAATCATCATTGACTTAAAAGGAAGCTCCGAAAATTCTCTAGAAAAATTGATGATGATTCCTTGCTAAACAAATTCCTTAATCCTTAAGCATTCCTAGAAGAATTTAGCGAAATATTTGAAAGGCTGACCACCATAACATATGAAACAATCTACAAATTTTCTAGAATTGTAAGCTACCAATATACACTACTATAAATATATTCTAGCACTTCATTTTGAGTCATAGAGTGAATTAAGAAGAGTGAAAGAGAGAAAAAGAAAAAGACAGAATGTATGCATATGTGGTGAAAGAAAGACACGAAGTGAGAGAAGCAGCATAAATGAGTGCTTTGAGAGAGAGAGAGAGAGAGGAAATAATTTTAGTGCTTCAATTAATATGAATTGTGAGAGGAGTGTGGTTGAATTATAGAAACAAATTTTTTATTAATAAAATCAATTTCTTTTGTGAACAAAATCGACAAACCACCTGTTATAATTAAGAATAGCAGCTTCACAGGTGGAATTTCGCGTTGCTAAAGCCTTGATTTCCGTCGCTAACAAGCTTCAAAGACGAAAGGTTTCCGTCAATAAAACCCACGGTAAACCCCCCGCCGGTACCAAATATTCTGTCAGTGTTTATCGACGGACAGATCTGTAGCTAATTAGCAATGGTATTATCTATAGTTTTTGTAGTCTACGGACTAAAGTATGTTGATAATTAGTAACGAAATGCCGTCGAGAATTTGGATAAAAAAAATTTTAAAAAAAATTGGATCACTATTCTAATTAATCTTTCCTTGAGAATTTAATATATTAAAGTTTAAAATCAAAAGGCAAAAAAAAAAAATAAAAAAAATTAAAGCTTAATAAAATGTATAAAATAACTAACAATGAACAACATCCCGAAATAAGAAAACAACTATAGATGAGTTTCAATGTCTTAACTCAATTTGATTTTGAAAGAGAAACATATGTGCAAATGTTCATGAGCTTCGCAAAAGTTCAAGGAAAAGAAACAGTGGCATTTGCAAAAAACTAACTACAAGAATCTCAAAGCCTGAGAAAAAAATAGATAAAATCCAGTTAACACATGACATACCTGTCAAAAAGCATATTTGGCGATAGATTATTAACCGTAGGGCAATATGACACAGAGTTAGTGAATTTTAAGGAAAAATAATGCATATTTTAGCCAAGATTCGGCTGATAAATGTTCTGTACCAAACATTTACATCTTAAAGTGGAAAACGCACTTGACGTTGTTGTTGACTTCACCCGAACTTAGAGTGTTTGGTCTGAAAGTGTGATTGGCAATTCCGTAGACAAAATGGGCATAATTGTATGTTTGTAAAAGTTAGGACTCAATTAAACATTCTTCTAAAAGTCAAGGTCCTAGGGTGCAATTTTGTATAGATGAGATAAATTAGTATTCGAATCATTAAAGGAGTCCAAGATGTCCAAGAAGATCACATAAGATCATCCGAACGCAATTGGAAGTCTAAAGGATATCAAAAAGCCGCACAAAATATATTCCGAATTTTTAGTCGTAAATTGCAACACATTTTTTCACATAGAAAACGTTGAAATTTGGACAAGGCTATTTAGAAGAATCGTAGCCCTTTGAGTTAGATTTTCAATGCAGCTGGAATCACTTCAATCAGATATCAGGAGAGAAAGTTATAATAAAAATACTGACGATTGCTCAACCATTGCTCTCTTCCTTGGCTCCTTGCTCGAGCGACGGTGTTATTCGGCCAAACCCTATGTTGCACTTTTGAGAGTTTTATACAGCCCATGACATTTTTTGCACCCATTTATAAATACAGAAGTCATGGATGTGATATTCAAGGTTGCTTATTGTGTTTCAAGAGAAAAACATATTCATAACATATTCTTTTAAGATCCAAGAGAGCTTCAAACATTGAATTCAACATATTGGTCTTGTGATCCGGCAACCGTTGTTTTGGGAAAAATATCAATTTTCATAACCCAAAACACCGTGCTTCCTTAATCTTGTAAGTAAGTGACTCTCTCATTGGGGGATTGAGAGAGATGGATTGAAGCATAGTTACAAGCACAAGAACAGGAGGTTTTTGGTGTTCCACTTGGAGAAACATTCAGTACAGACCATGAGGTTGCAGGAGACAAAAGATTGGACTGTAGGGGGTAGAGTAGGGGTCTAGCAGGAGGCTAGAGGAATCTACGGCAGTAGGAGGCTACAGAAGGAAGATCAAGAGTTCTAGCGTTAGAGGAGTCTACAGCAGTAGATCTTAAGGCTGCGGCAGCGGGTGAAAACGGATACATGATAGGCTTATTATTGTATACTTTGAATTGTCAATAGTGGAAGTAACTGGCTTGGTCCGGAGTTTTACCGACGTTGGGGTTCTTCCTCATCATATTGTTTGTTATTTACTACTTTCCATAATATACAAACTGTGGCATTCCAACATAGGCTAATTAACTTGTATGATTAATCACTTAGACAACTAATTGAAGTGACTTGTTACTTTAGTTAGATTAATTCTGTATGTAAGATCAAATTGTAATATAGAACGTAAAGTCGGTAACGCATAAAATTTGAATTTGATACAGTATCGCGTTAGATAAACTTTCAAGCGTTCTAGGTCGACTTTTCAAGTGGTACTAGACTGTCCTAGAATTTTCACAGAGCAAACACTTCAGCCCAATATGTTGGACGTAAATGTTAAGGAAGTCAAATTCCTTGTAAATTGTCGCCAAATACATCATATAAAGTACTTACCACCTAATTTTCGTTCACCAACAGTGAAGACTTTTGTTCTGTCAGTTTCTATTACTCTATAGTTTTAGTTTCTATCTGCAACTCTTATGATAATTATTAAATGGAACTAAGACACAAAGAAAAAAGATGGAGAGACTACTTTTGACTCAAAATAAACTATATACCCTTTGAGTTCTGGTTTTCTACTCAAGATGGCGTCAGACAGGCAAGCCCAGTATCTATCAATGGAACATTATGGATAGATAGTTCATTTTGTTGTTCCATTCTATGGAGTTAAACTCCTTGTCCTGATGTTGCATCCCACTTTGCTTCATTGTAAATTTTAGTTTTTTGTCGTGTTTGGATGGGGTGGGAGTAGTAAATACTGTTCCCCCACTCGAGCCTGCAGTTGCTACGCCGAATACCTTGTCGAGGTGACTGAGATGAAGGTCAAAACTTAAATTGGACTGAGTTTTCATCGAATTTTACACAGGTTTTTAACTTCACATATTCAGAGAAATGATAGAAAGACGTAAAGATGCACCAAGTCTTTTATAATTTCACCTACACATTTTCACATGGAATGTTTATAGAAGTTTTCCAGTATCTTCAGCAATTTTTGCTTCCTTTTTTTTTTTTTATTTTTTTTTTCTCTCTCTCTCTCTCATAAATTTATAGTATTATATGCTTTCACTTACATAGGATTGTTTACAGTAACTTAGAATGCAGTATAATTCTTATGATAAAATCATACATATATATGTTACGTTTTATTCTACATAATTGATTGTAAATAAAATTTCGTTTTCATTGATGTAAAATAAAAATTAAAGAAATCAAACGATTTAATTCAAATTTTTAATTAAAAGTGGAATTTAAAAACATCTATGTAACAAATAAGCATAGACAATAATTTAATTATACATAAATGTCTATGGTAACCAAATTAAAAGAAACAAAGTTACGCGCTTAAGTTCTTGATTTTTGTCCCATGAAATGAGGCACAACTACACCATCGAACCTACTCGCTCTGACATGACCCGTACTAACCTGTGAGGTAGGGAAAATAATGAGTACATGAGAATACTCAGTATAATACAAATATTAGTACAGTCCCAAATAATATTTGTCATGCATATATCAAAATAAATCGTACCATCACATCACATCACATCTTTATAATAGGTAAGAGCTCATATCGTATCATATCATTGTACCGAATGACGATACATATATCATATCATATCATCAGCAAAAATAAACAGGACAAACAACTTGTACGTCGTATCCTATCTTATAACATTCAAATGCGTTTCAACCAAAAGAAGAATGCTAAGATAGAAAAGGTACTATAAATGCTACTGGACAATATCTTGTTATTTTAATACACCAGAATATGGAAGGAAAAATGAGTAATAAAAATATAGGAAGATAAGTTATAAAATGTTGAAATGAAAGAAATCGTAAGTGATGTGAGATAAATGAAGGAGTTGTGGGAATCTTTATATTAGTTGGGTAAGATGGCAAGTGGGTGTGTGGAGGTTTCCTAGAGGTGATTAAATTTATAAGTGGAGGAGAGAGAATCTCAAAGTTAGAAACATGTGAAGATATTAACAAATTTGTATTTCAAACTCTCTCTCTCTCTCTCTCTCTACACACACACACGGTCACTAACAAAGGTACATATGCACAAGTCTATAAAATGCATTTGTCAATTAATAAAATAATACCCATTAAATACGGGTCTTTGAATTGAAATAATTCTGACCATGTCTTATATCAACTTATTTTTTTTTTAGTCTAATATATGTTATTTAGTGTGAGCTACAAATTAGCCTAATATTGATATACTTTTCCTTCTCCTACATTACTTGATATTTAGTCACTCTGTATTTAAAACACGTAAAAAAATATTTGGAGTGTTACAACATTTAATGCAATTTAATACTTAAACGACTTCAAATGCTATGAATTGCTATCTTTGACTATGTGTGGCCAAGAAGTTTTATTTAAAATTCTTTTGGTTGTAATAGCACTCAGCCCCCGTTTGGTCCACATTTCTTTGAAAATGAAATGGGTGGTGACATCAGTTAACATAGGAAACCACTTCTAGAGATAGGCAATGTACATCGTGACACGCCGATGTGAAACCGTCGACCCCCACCCCGAGGGCGCTCTACCTCTACAAGAGACCATCGACCGCCCGGAGTGCTCTATCTCTTGTAGAGGCCGTCGAACGCCCGGGGTGCTCTACCTCTACAAGAGACCGTCGACCCCCCGAGGTTCTCTACCTCTACAAGAGATCATCAACCCCCTGGGGTGCTCTATCTCTACGTGAGACTATTGACCCCTTGGATGCTCTACCACTATGAGAAATCGTTGAACCCCCCGGGGCGCTCTACCTCTATGCAAGACCAACGACCGGCATGAGATTACTTATAAGGCCATCTCAACACTTAGCTTCAAAATCTCTGATGAATTAATAAGGTTACACGACTGGTCACCACGGGCACAACCTCCCGGGATAGTTAAAACTCCCCACCCCGAACGTGGGGATAATGGGAAGGTCAACGTGGGACACGTGGCACCACAATCACCCGGCTCCCGCTCAGCTTTCGACGTCAATAAATACCTCCTAAGGGCAACATGTATGAATTGATTGCACATTTTTTAGCTATCTGAATCCCAAACTTATTTCTCCTAATGCGCCTACTGATTTTCACACCGGAGGTAAAATGGGGGAGAAAGCCCCGCCCTCACTTTTTAGGTTACACTTGCCATCAGAGCAGCAGAAACGTGAAAGGCCGCCAGACAGATCAGGAGACATTATTCCACCACCATTTCATTGGCGCCGTCTGTGGTAATCATTTGAACTAAAAAGCTATGTCGAGAAGACGTACAATGAGTGATACTCGTTTGGTTGGAAATACATCGGAGACGGAGACGGAGACGGAGTCGGAGTCAATTGCAAGGGGTCATGAGCTACCGCCACCGCCGCCCTCGCAGTATTTGATGTAGAGTCAATTTAGGGCTTTGGAGACTCAGTTGGCAACAATGATGGCACTCCTACAAAACCACTAGCAGAGAGTCACGGTCCCTCCATTGAGCCCGACGAAAGTGACGAACCAGCAACCGCCTCAACCGCCACCCGCGATTGATCTACCTCTCTCTTAGCAGGGGACGGGAGATGCGAAGGTCCCAATGGTCGTAGCACAGCAGCCCCACAAGCCATAGTGGACCTGGAATAAAAGATGGAAGAAATTATGGCCCAAAAGATAGATGATGCACTGTCCAAGAGGAAGGATAAGCGGAGGCATATGGTTTTAGAGGAAGACCCGTTCGCCCCTGAGATCATGGCGATCCCTTTGCCTAAAGGCTTCAAACAACCCCTGATAGAAGCATATGACGGAGTCACGGATCCGCTTGAGCACTTGCGGACCTTTATAGACTTGATGAGACTTTATGCCGCCCCGGACGCAGTGATGTGCCGATCATCCCCCCTCCCACTCAGGAGGGAGGCTAGGGACTGGATAGCAACCTTGGCCCCTCGGTCTATCAAGATGTTTGATGAGCTCTCCAAGAGCTTTGTGGCTTACTTCCTAAGCAGCAAGAGGAAGAGGAAGACAGCCATTGGGTTGATGCAGGTCGTATAGGAAAAGGATGAGTCATTGCAGGAATACTTGGCTAGGTTTAGCCGGGTGACTCTCGGCATAAAAGACCTGCAAATGTCTGCAGTGGTTACTGCCTTGATGAATGGAACGTGAAACTGGGCTTTTCAGATGTCACTCTCCAAGAACCCCCCAAAGTCGATGCATGACCCATTGAAGAAGGGAGACAAGTATGTCAATGCGGAGGAAGCGGAGAAAGTAACTAAAAATCTCAGGGACGGATGGGAGACGGAAGCACATAAGCGAAAAGCGTATGATGAGCAAAGGCACACTGAGAAGAATAAGTCGAAGAATGAACGCATGAACAAGGGTTATGCCCAAGATCGGTTGGTCAAGCAGAAGCGAGAGGAGGCCAAGGCACCCACCCCTTTGAACATCCCACATACGAAGTTATTAATGGAGATACAGCACATGAAAGAGCTCGAATGGCCTAAACCGATGCTGACTTCCTCCAGCAAGAGAAATCAAAGTAAGTACTACCATTTTCACAAAGATCACGGACATGATACCGAAGAATGTGTGCAGTTGAAGGAAGAAATTGAGCACCTGTTAAGGCGGGGACTATTGGCTAAGTATGTAAAAAACGACAGGGGCAAGCAAAGGCTCGAAGGTCTACCCCCACCAAGGGCAGGAGTGATAAACATAATCATTGGGGGAGTAGCACCGAGCGACGACTCAAATTCAGCTAGGAAGAGCTATGCGCATTCCGCAGGGTCTGCTCTATCCAGAAAAAAGTAAGGTTCAACCAGAGCATTACTTTCGATGAAAAGGACTTGATCGGTATAATGCATCCCCATGATGACGCCTTAGTGATAGTAGGCAATATAGCGGATTTTGACGTGAAAAAGGATACTAGTCGACGGAGGAAGCGCGGCAAATGTCCTCACCTCGGATGCCTTCTTGGGTTTAAAAATTCTCCCAAAAAAGTTGAAGATGGTGACTACCCCTCTACAAGGCTTTGAAGGGGCAACAATGATATCGGAGGGAACTGTGGAGCTTCCAATTACGCTAGGCACATATCCAGTGACAGTGGTGATTGTGACTAATTTCTTGGTTGTCAAGACCCCCATGGCCTACAATGCCATCTATGGCTGACCATTGCTAAACGTAGCTAGCGCTGTCCCATCGACCTACCATCAAGTTATGAAGTTCCCAACTAGTAGAGGAGTTGGGAGCGTGCGAGGGGACCAGCATGCATTGAGGAAATGCTATGTAGATAGTATACAGGCCAAAGGCTCACCACCAATCATGATGCTAGATGTGGAACTCCCAAGGAGACGGATCGAGCCCTTCAATATGATTTAAAAATCTTTATAGCCGAGGGACGGAAGTTTAGTGTTGGAACAGTTTTGGGATTTGAAGAGAAGGAAAAATTGGCGAAGTGTCTAGCCAGTAACTTGGACGTTTTCGCTTGGGGCCTAGAAGACATCCCAGGGATTAGCCCAACCATCGCGCAGCACCGCCTCGGTGTCCAACCAGGGGCTAAGCCAGTGAAGCAGAAAAAATAAATCTTACCCCAGAGAGGCGGGTCGCAGCCAGAGCAGAGGTAGAAAAATTGTTGCAGGCGGGTTTCATTCGAAAGGTACAATACCTCGAGTGGTTGGCCAACATAGTACTTATGAAGAAGTCAAACGAAAAGTGGCGCATGTGTATAGATTATACCGAGTTGAACAAGGTGTGCTCGAAAGACTCATACCCGCTCCCCAGGATAGATCACCCGGTAGACTCTACATCGGGTCATGAAAGGCTCAGCTTTCTAGATGCATTTTCTGGGTATCATCAAATTTCAATGGTCGAGTCCGATAAAGAGAAGAGGTCATTTATCACAGACTTTGGCGGAGACTGTTACACAGCCATGCCATTCGATTTGAAAAATGCAGGGGCGACTTATCAGAGAATGGTGAACAAAGTCTTTCACAGGTTGATCGGAGATGTTGTAGAGGCATATGTTGACGATATGGTGGTCAAGAGTGCCAAAGCTGATGACTATGTGGCCTGTTTGTAGAAAGTGTTGGATGTTGCCCGACAAAATAGATTAAGGTTCAGTCCAGAGAAGTGTGTTTTTGGTACCGCAGGAGGAAAATTCCTAGGCTTCATGATCACGCAAAGAGGCATCGAAGTGAACCCGGACAAAATTCAGGCAACCCTAGAAATGAAAAGCCCCACCAGTAGGAAGGAAGTCCAGAGGCTAACAGGGCGGGTAGCCGCTTTAAATCGTTTCATGAGCCGGGCGGCGGATAAATGCTACCACTTTTTCAAGGCTATAGGGGGTTCTTCCAACTTCGAGTGGACCCGGGAATGTGATGAGTCACTTAGGAACTTGAAACAGTCATTACAGGAGCCCCTGATCCTGGCCATCCCATGCCCCAGGGATGTGTTGTGTCTCGATTTGGCAGTCTCACCAAGGGCAGTCAGCACGGCGCTGGTGAAAGAGTTCTCAAAGGCACAAAAACCGGTCTACTATGTGAGCTAAGTATTGAGGGGTGCAGAGGTAGGATACAGCCTGGCTGAGTAGCTAGTGTTTGCATTAATTATCGCGGTTGGGAAGCTGAGGCCTTACTTTCAATCTCACACAGTGCAAGTAATGACCGACCAACCTATCAAGCAAATCCTACATCGACCAGAGACCTCTGGGAGGTTTTTGAAATGGACAATCGAGTTAAGTGAGTTTGATGTTGAATTCAGGACAAGGACAGCTATTAAGGCACAGGCTCTAGCAGACTTCATCATTGAGCTCACCATTCCGCTCGAGCACCCGCTAGGGGAACAGGCAGATTGGAAAATTTTTGTGGATGGATCTTCGAACGATGAGGGATTCGGGACGAGGATCATAATGATAGGGCCAAATGATGAAGAGTTGGAATACTCCCTGCGTTTTGAATTCCCAACTACAAATAATGATGCCGAGTACGAGGCAGTGATCATGGGTTTAAGACTAGCAGCCAGACTCGGGGTAACTTTAGTAGAGATTTGTAGTGACTCTCAGTTGATAATCGGGCAGGTGACAGGAAATTTGAAGCAAAAGACGAAAAGATGGCAGCAGATTTAATGGAGGTCAAAAACTTGCAGAAGAGGTTCACTAGGTTTAAAATAACAAAGGTCCCCTTAAAAGAAAATGAGCAGGCCGACGCAGGGCTAAGCTCGCATCAGCTAACCCCAGATGTTTGCCTCGCACAGCGAGAGTGCAAATCTTGCAGCGACCTAGCATCCAACACGCGGTCGATGTTGTGAATGTAGAGCATGGGAAAAGTTGGATCGACCTGTTGGTTGAATATCTCACAAAGAACAAGTTGTCAGAAGATGCTTTCATAGCAAGAAAGCTAAAAGTTCGGGCAACCTCGTTTGCCATCATCGATGGACTACTTTACAAGCGAGATTTTACAATACCATATTTGAAATGTTTGCGACTGACAGAAGCACAGGAAGTACTAGTCGAGATACATGCAGGAATTTGTGGCAACCACCAAGGGGCGATCGCCCTTGTGTTCAAGACGCTTCGACAAGGATATTATTGGCCTAGTATGAAGGAAGACGCTAAGGAGTTGGTGAGAAAGTGCGATGCATGTCAACACCATGGAAATTTGATCCATATTCCAGCCAAGCAACAGACGACAATTTTTGGGGTGTGTCCTTTCTTCCAATGGGGGATGGACATCTTGGGGCCTTTGTCCCTAGCTAAGGGACAAAGGAAGTTCTTGCCAGTTGCCATAGACTACTTTAGTAAGTGGGTGGAGGCTGAGCCCTTGGCCATCATCAATACTACAAAGGTGTAAGGATTCGTCTGGAAAAATATCATATGCAGGTTTGGCATACCCAGAGTAGTTATTATAGATAATGGCAAACAATTCGACAATCACAGTTTTAGAGCCTTTTACACAAGCTACCACATCGACCATAGGTTGACTTCAGTCGCTCACCCACAGTCAAATGGACAGGCCGAAGTGACCAACCGAGCTATACAATGGGATTGAAGATAAGGCTTGAAAAGAATAAAGGGCTTTGGGCAAATGAGTTGCCCAATATGCTATGGGCGTATCACACAACTCCCGAGAGCCGACCGTGGAGACACCGTTCAGACTGGCCTTTGGGATGGAAGCCGTGGTTCCAATTGAGATCTTAAGCAAGATAGGAAAGATAAAAGTCAAGCAACCCGATGATGCAACGACTAGGGGAGAACTTGACCTACTTGAAGAGGTAAGGGAGAAGGCAGCAATAAGAATGATGGCTTATAGATGAAAAGCCGCCGAGTACTTCAACTGGAGAGTGAAGCTAAGAGCCTTCCAGCCAAGAAATCTCGTGCTAAAAGATGCAGCAGCGGCAGGACACCTCCACCAAAGCTTGGTCCAAACTGAAAAGGCCCGTACGAAGTAATCCACGGGCTAGGAAAGGGAGATTACAGCTTGAAAGATATGAAAGGAAGGCCACTAGGTAGGCAGTGGAACGCAGAACATCTCAAAAATATTACCAGTAGATTTCGAAATAAATGCACATGCTGCACTTTTGTAAATACAGTAGAATAGGTGGCATCGTCTATCCTCTCCATGTAATGCCTCACGAAGGCGCCCTTAGTTGTAATATTTTATCTTATTCAATGAAAGACCTTGGTAGTGGCAAATGATGAGGGTGCTACGGAAGGGCCAGCCTAGCTGGGACGTCCCGTTGCGCCAACTGAGCTCACGAATCCAAGAATTTTTTATGCTGATAGGAATCTTGAATCTCTATACTCATCTTATGAAGACATGTGGTCAACGTAACCCAAGGGGCTAGGCGAAGAGCCATTGAAACCAAAAATTTGGTTAAGGCCCTAGACCACGCCCTCGATGGTCGACATAGTCCAAGGGGCTAGGCGGAGGGCCGTTGAAATAAAAAATTTGGCTAAGGCCCTAAATCGTTAGACCACGCATTCGATGGTCGACGTAGCCCAAGGGGCTAGGCGGAGAGCCATCAAAACCAAAAATTTGGTTAAGGTCCTAGACCACTAGACCATGCCCTCAATGGTCGATATAGCCCAAGGGCCTAGGCAGAGAGCCATTGAAAGCAAAAATTTGGTTAAGGCCCTAAACCGCTAGACCATGCGTTCGACGATCGACGTAGCCTAAGGGACTAGGCGGAGGGCCATCAAAACCAAAAATTTGGCTAAGGCCCTAAACTGCTAGACCATGTCCTCGACAGTCGACATAGCCCAAGGGTCTAGGTAGAGAGCCATTGAAACCAAAAATTTTCGTAAGGCCCTAAACTGCTAGACCACGCGTTCGACGTAGCCCAAGGGGCTAGGCGGAGAGCCATCAAAGTCAAAAAATTAGCTAAGGTCCTTGACCGCCAGACTACCTCCTTACGGTTGACATAGCCCACGCGGCTAAGCGAAAAACCTTGAAAAGCGAAAAAATTGGCTAAGGCCTTTATACACTAGGCGGAAGAGACCTAAAAGATCACAGTGTTGGCTAAGGCCATCAGCCATTGCAATCAAGCCTAGCGCATGCGAGACAAATGACATTCACCCATGCTATGAAACAGTTGAACGTGAGAAATAACGCTGGGAAAAACAAGCTTCAACATTAATAACCGTTGATAACATAGCATTCATACAAAAGGAATGTAATGTACTCTTGCCCATACCCCGGACAAGTAGGAAATGATGCTACATGTATAAATAAAAGGCAACATAAAAAAAAAAAAAAAAAAAAGAGAACTGACAAAAAGTGCTACTGCTAAGTCATGCTTCAACTCGAAGGGGAAACACTGCCACTGCCCCCCCTCCCCCCGAAGAAAGACCAAGTGACCTAGATGACTGCGCCACACTCTCCTTCTCCTTGCCCTGTGCAAGGAACTTGTCAAAACCTGAGTGGTTAATGAAAGGGTGCTCGGTCGATATCCACTCCTTGGTCAGTTTGATGGACGCTGCCATTGCCTTCTCCCCGTATGAATGCAAAGCCCCAGCATAATCAGACGATGACTTGTACTGCTCAACAGGCGCCTCCAAGTCCCTAGTGTACTCAGCAGAAGCCTTCCGCCTCTTTCTGAGCATGAGCTAACTCAGACCGCAAATTGTCGTTCTCCGTCCCCTGCTCGCGGGCTCGAGCCTCCGACGCCTCAAG